ATCGCTCATGAGCGATCCCCAGACCTTAGGGCTGAAACAGGGCAACTCGCGCACCACTGTTGAAATTGTGACCTGACTGTTGCATTGTGCTTCAAGAGGCACATATGGCTCAACCTTGGTCCAAGCATATGACTCCAATGCTGAGTTCTCACTTGCAAGACACAACACTGGTGTGCCTGAGAGCACATATCTCATACGAACAATGGGCTGACATAAAATATAATGCGAAGATGATGAACAACAGGTATCCATTAGAAGTCTTATCATGGAATGCACCAATCCAGTACTGCATTGGCATAGGATGAGAATCAAACGCATAGCCCGAAATGGTAGAGTGGAGCTCATACTTGGCACCTGTGTTGCCTGCAACAGATGCCACATTTTCTTTAGAATGCTTTGGAGTTGAGTGAACGCAGTGATAGGTTTTGCCAACAACTGCTCGAAAATCCCATCACATGCTTGCAATATGTATTAATGTATTGAATCAGCAAGGCACAGTTTGAGCAAGACAGTGAGCACTATTCTAGTCCTAAGGATGACAAGCTAGAAGAACACACAACCAAGTTGGGGCCAAGATGCCAGCCAAGATCTTTGTTAAGGTTGCCTTGGCCGGTTTGTTGCAAGATAGGCAGGGTTTCAGTGGAGCAAAATTACCTCTGGGCACAATGCAGGTGATGGGACCAAACTTGGTGACTTGTGGCACCTATCTCCAAACACTATGGTTCATGGCTGCCTTGTGCATTTGTATGGGATATGCACCGCATTGCTCGATACGGCGCATGTGTATCAATGCCTTCTGAGCAATGAAGCGAAGGATTACCACAACTGATGATGGAAAACAGACCTGTAGATGGGGGAGGAACAGCCCATCGCTACCCTGGCTCAGAATGTACAGCTGCCCCTCACCTGGCAGTAGCCTCTGGGGGAAAAGTACAAAGCAGGTGAGCGCAGGGCAGCGCATTAAACACTTTCTGTATGTTTTTTCAGAGAACATTGAATGCGGCGATGGACAGCGTCAAGCACCTTGCAAGCGCCAGCACAGACTTACCATGCAAAGCATGCGCTGCAGCATCAAGGGAGTAGTGAATGGACAATCACAAGCAATAATGTCAACTAGAAGTAGAGAAGCCTGGAGAAAGCACCAACGTGAACTGGAACCCTGCTCAAACATCAGCCGTCTTATTCGGGGTGTCCGTGCTTGTTTGTGATGAAATACATAGGGGTGCAGTGGGGGGTGGAGCCCACTGGGTACAATGCAGTTCAACACAAAGCACATCTCCAGGTATGATTTTCCGCTAAATAATGATCAATGTCATGCAATGCTGGGAGTCACAACCACCCCATGCTGAGCTAAATCAGATGTTTTGCTGCCTGATATTCCACTAACAGCAAATGGTGCCCTTGACATGGCCCATTCTCAGTCACACAAGCTGTGCAAATATTCCCGCCTGACAGACAGCGAAATGCTACTGGGCACTGGTTACCTGCCATCCCAAGCGTCTTTAATTGGCCGATCTTCAGGGTGATGAGCCAGTCTTGGCATTTCTCCAGCAAATCCAGAACGGCGGATGGGCCTTTGTTCGTTTTCAATGTTGCCTGCTCGATCCTTCTCCCCACGGACCTGTACTCATGACTCTCAAGCAATCGTGTAGCGCTTTCAATCATTTGCAGTATCTTTGAAAATTCCTGCTCATATCCTTCATCTTTTGTATTCATAGCCCTGTGCAGTGTCTTGATCATCAGCATTGCCACTTCCTCCAATGCTGACTTTGCTGGGTGATGCTCTTCGTAGTCTGCCACATCCCTATGAACCACCTCCAAGGCAAATGCCAGCAGAGAGAGAAGTGGGCCAGCAATGGGCAGAGTGTGCAGCACCTCGTTTGTGAAGGTAGCAGCCACTCCTAATGCCTTCATTATCTCCTGAGTGGCTTCCAAGTGAATCACTGAGATGGGTCCCGTCATTTCGTTTCTCGTACGCTTTGGGTGCTGTCGTTCAACAGCCCTTGCCCTGCAAGCACTCACTCCCGCAGCAGTTCTCTCTATAAACACACTCTCCGCCACAAAGCAGCCACCCAGCGGGCTTTGAACTCCTGCTCATCATCCCCGTTGCCAACAAACCACTCGTGCCCACCGCCAATATGCACCACACTAGTCTCGCCCCTCAACAATCCGGCGTGCGCCCCTGTCTGCCATGCAGTAATATTCGTTGGGCGCTCCTTGTGTGGCCATGCAGCGATCCACCACAAGTCGACTCGAAGGAGCAGATCAACAGCCTCCCAGCTCGCCAACCTCCCTTTTGCCGCTTTCTTGCCCGTCAGCACCTGGCCTGTGGTACCAGCCATCAGCACGCACATCTCTGCAGGCCTGGCCTCCTCAGGTTCCCTGACATGGCTTCCGCCTTGTGCGGCCATCCCTCCTCCGTTAAGGCAGAGCTCTGAAGTGAGGGAAATGAATTCGGTTTCAGAATGCACGCAACCTGGAGACCCCGCCACAACAATGTTTCAAGCACAGTTGCGCTGGACGATTGGTCTCCTCTTTTGTTGTTTCAGAGCAAATGCTCTCAACACACGACGCCGCTGTCAGCTCTCGAGTAGATATCGTGCCCAATTGCATCTGCACATCCACGGCCGACGGAATCCCTTTGTCATCCTGTAGGAAACCTGTGGGTAATTCCTCAAAACGCACCAACGCACCAAAATTAGTCATGAACACCTGACAACACCTGACCAAGGAAGGGTGACACCACGCTGACTGGGCTGGAGAAGATCCATCAAACTCCACGAAAAGGCCATGAATGTAGAGTAAGAAACGTGACCGTATCGTGGGATGGGGTGTCTGGACGACAAGGGCATAAGATCAACGTGAGAAACAGAAGACCCTGGACTTATGATAAAACCTCCTAAAGAGATGGCTTAATAGTTCTCTGTCCACGGAATCGGTACTTAATTCTCGGTGCCTCGTTTTCAAGATTCGGCCAGCGGCCCCTCCGAAAGCTGGTGTCACGCCAACAAACAACACAAAACGTCCGCTTCAGACTGATACCGTCTTTCCCGTGTCTGCGCACAAAGGCGCACGCACCGATCCAATGGGCACGGGGGCGTGAGTCAGGAGGTGCGAGCCATTGCAGACTGGAGCACGCACAAGTGTCCGCGACACACGCACTCACCCCTACTCACTGTTGGATCCCATCAGCCGAAAGCATCGGTGGACGCGACAGGGCGGGCTGTGCGCCGCAGCGCCCGTTCCACCCGATCGCTTGCTCGTTCCGTTCTCGTCTTCTGGTGCCGAGACCTGGGGTCCCTTCTCTCGCGAGGGTTGGAACCGTTGGCCACTCTCCACTGTCGGATCCTATCGATAGATATCTGCGGCAAACAGCCTGTCAACTCGACGAGACGGGCCGTGCGCAGCTGCGCACGATCCTCCCGATCGCTCTCCCGTTGCGTTGCCGCGTTCTGGTGTCAAGACCTTGGGTCCATGGTCCAAGGGGAACCATCAAAAACTGGGGTGGGTCAGGTCCACGAAGTTCCCCAGGTTAGGGGAGATGCTATGTCGATTTTGATACGCTTAGCATCAATTTGACGTTAGGCCCAGACCCCCCGCCCCCCTTTGGGGCCCCTGAGTGCATGTTTTGCTTGCCTACGAGTGGCTTGTGTTGTGTGCTCATATTTTGCATCGGAGGCTTTATATCATCTTTTCACAGCATGGAAAAGAACCTCACATACATTTGCCTAGGAAGGGGTGCCCTTTGTGTGACTTGTATCTCTATCTTTGTTTGTGACAAATCTTAACCCCAACCCACCCTTCCTTGGCTTCAATCCTCATGTGGATGCCAGGTTGACTCACCAGCATTACATAACGAAGCTAGTCAGTTTCAAGTTGATTTAAGGAACATAAATAGCCAGAATTGCAGAGATTACAATGGGCTGCAAAAGGGGTGATAATGGCCATTGCGGGTGATTGGGGCAGCCTCGATGGCTGCCTCTTGAAGTATTCTGAGGCCCACATTCAGGACTGAATGCTTGAAGGAGGCTTTGGAACAAATCATGAGCTGTTTGCCGATGATCAGTGGCGCTTTTGTTTATCTTCCCATCTTGTGTCGATTTTGTGGCAAGTGCATTATCTCTCAGCGTCACAGGTCCACTCCCCAACCCCACGCTTAGCGTCAAGTTGATGCTAAGCATACCAAATTCGATGCAGCATCTTCCCTTAAGGAGACGACGTGAGTGGATTGAGTATCAGTCGGTAGTGTGCAGCTGCGCTGCATCGATCCATGCTGTCCAGCTGCTTTCGGATTGCACGTTCCACAGCAACCGGTCCTGTGGGTGTGCATTTAATTTGGTGCAGCTGAGTCCCTATTTTAGTTTCAGGATGGTGAGGACGATGTGATTGAATTATTGAGTTTGGTGTGCAGATCTTGATGTTTGACGTGTGGTTGGAACCTTCCCTTTTTGGCCTGTGAGGGGACCCGTAGATCTTGACAGCCTTGAAAAAGTGGTTCGGATCCTTGTATTTGAACGGCTGGTCCTGTAAAGAGTTTGCCTCCCGGTTGTTGCTGGGGTGCGCTTATAACGTGTTGGAATCCAGGCGTGTTCGCCCGCTTTACGGTCCAAAACCGTAGCTTCCCGCACCGCCCTTCCCAGGTCCCCATGGAAGGCCGGGGAAGGAATGCCACGTGCAGCAGTTTGTGCGGAAAGTCGTAATGGCGTGCTGTGGGCAAGTGCGCTCATGGTCAAGGGGCACAAACCCAGTGACGATGGATACGCCCCACCGCATGGCGAACACTATGCCCGTTCCAGTGCGCGTAGATTCGTAGATTCAGCCGTCGAAATTGCCTCCATCATGACCGATGAATGAGCGGCAAGAGGTTCCTCCCCACGCCCCCCGGCCCGCTATAGGGCAACCCCGCCCGGCCCCTTTCGTCACCGCCCCGCCCTGTGGCACCCCCTCCCACGCCCACCCCGTCCCTCGCCCACCAACCACTCGGGCGCCCAGCGGCCGGCATGGCCTTCTCCAGCATGTCCGGGCGCGAGGCCGACGGCCTGGACGCCTCAGACATCCTTCAGCAGGACATCCCCTGGGCGGCCTACATGACCGCCAAGCTGATCTCCGACAAGGACCTGCAGCTCATCACGCGCTACGACAAGCAGACGCCGGACGTTCGGGCTCATCTGCTGGAAGAGGACGGCCCCGCCTACGTGGAGGCCTTCATGACGGTGCTCAGGAACACCACAAAGGAGCAGGTCGTTCAGTATGTGTTGGCGACCTTGGATGAAATGGTGATCGCATCGCCTGCCAGCGTGGCTCTGTTCCACACGCAGAGCGACGTGCATCTTTCGCGACCGCCGGAGCCCTACGGAGTCCTGATGCGGCACCTCAGCAGGGCAGACTGGTTCACACAAGAGAAGGCGTGCCGGCTGCTGTCGGCGGTGCTGGGCGCGCGGCCGGACAAGGCGGCGTCGATCTTCGCGTCGGAGCACAACCCGCTGACGCCCCCATCCCAGCCCGAGATCGGTGCCGGCGTGGTGGCCGATCAGGCGATCTTCAATTTCATGGATTGGCTGACCAGCCAGCTGCGGCGGCCCACGAATTCGAGCAGGTCGGTGGCCGTGGCCACGACGGCGCTGGCGGGGCTGCTTAGGGAGCGCGGCGCGCGCAAGCTTTTTCACAAGTCGGGGGGTGTGCCGCTGCTGGCGCCCCTGCTGCGGGCGGGCACTACTGGCCAGCGCGTGAACGTGCAGCTGCTCTACGAGGCCTGCCTCTGCGTGTGGCTGCTGTCGTACATGAGGGAGACCGTGAAGGCGATCAAGGACTGCGGCATCGCGAGGTACCTGGTGGGCATCGTGCGGGCGAATTTCAAGGAGAAGGTGACGCGGGTGGCGCTGAACGGGATCAAGAATCTGCTGAGCAGCGAGGAGGTTGATGTGACGCCCGACGTGGTGGATGCGGGGCTGCCCAAGCTGGTGACGATCCGGCTGGTGCAGAATTGGGAGGACAAGGACATAGTGGAGACGCTGGAATGGCTGGAGGAGAAGCTGCGCTCCGGCATCGCCGTGATCTCCACCTTTGACAAGTACAAGTCCGAGATCCTGTCCGGGCGGCTGGAGTGGGGGCCCATCCACACGGAGGAGGCCTTCTGGCGCCAGAACGTGCACCATCTGGAGGAGAAGGAGTTTCACATCCTGAGGGTGCTGCTGCGCCTGCTGGAGGTGAGCAGGGAGGTGAAGACCCTGGCCGTGGGCTGCCACGACCTGGGCCAGTTTGTGAGCCACCACCCGCATGGCCGGGGCATCGTGATCGACCTGCGGGGCAAGGAGATCGTGATGGGGCTGATGCGCCACAGCGACCCGGAGGTTCAGAAGAATGCGCTGCTGTGCGTGCAGAAGATCATGCTCAGCAAAGACAAGCTGGACTTCCTTAGCGGGCCTGTCCGGGCGTAGGGTGCATTGGGGTGTGTCAGGGACAGTGGAGGATGGTTAGATTGTTGGGGAGCCTTTCGGGATCTTCATCCGTGTGTGTGCAATTGTTTCCAGAATAGAAGGTTGTGCATTTGGTGGCTTTTGGCGGTTTGGCGTGAAGAGGGAATGGATCTGTGATTGGTGCAGGAGATCTGCACGCAGGCTGCGATGCCTGGACGCCAACCTTCTGTTCTGCACATTCAGTTTGCAGCCTATTGGGAATCAACACTGCATTCCTGACAGAATAGATTATGTAATTGTAGAGCGGATGGCAACGGTGGCTGCTTTGTGGCCATGAACCTTTCTCATGTCCTGGTATCACTGCATCAATGCTGTATCTGCCACAGGGCCCATCGATTGGTGCCACTGCACAAGGAATCATGCACTGGCCGGCGCAGGCATGGACTTCACAGTTGATGATATGTTGCCATGTTTTGATATTCTGTTTTGGGCTTGTGCTCATTGTTTGGTGGGTCCACAAAGTTTGCCTTTTGGGCCAGAGGGCTGGTGCAATTGGCAACGGTGGCAAAATCTGCAAGACACCAGTGTTTGTAATGAATCATGCCGATCGCTGGCTACCCAGCAAAGCACCAAGGAAACCTGAGGCGAAATTGATCGTGAAGCTGGCAATCTCATGGTGATTCAATCGACTAGAGTTCTTGGTCTGCAATGGGAGATGTTGTTCTGCAGGTCACGCTTTGTGCAAAAAAGCAGCAACGCGACAATGGCAACTTCTGAGCTGTTGGCACTGCCGTTGCTGCTTTGCACCGGATTGAATGATTGTTGCCTGTACATTCAGTGCCAGAATGAAAGCGGTGATGGCACACGTTTCCCTGACTTCAAATCGTCATACCGCAGAAGTTTTTCCAGCGAGCTACAGCAACCTGGGCTGCACAGGCAGAGGACCACGAAGGCAGGCGTGCAGGGAGCCGATCCCACACAGGCGGACAGCAAATCGAAAAGCCTGTGCGCGATCCTACTTCTGCTTGCCTCTCTTTGTGTTCGCCACTTCACTGCACAGGGGGCGCCAGCTGGGTCTGCGTTCCATCCGCCTCGATGCAGAGCCGTGTCAGGCCGCTCGGAGGCCAACCGCCCCTGTCTACAAAGGGTGAAAAGAAGAAGCTGCCCCGTAGCACGTTGCCCACACGGCGCCGCTGGTGGATCGTTGCGCCGCCATCCCCGACCACAGCGCGGCGCTCGCCGAACTGTCACGAGAAGCCGGCGACGTTCCCGGTAGGGACTAACACGCCAAGTTGCGGCTCACAACTTCGCCAGTGGACCAAACCCCCTGTGGCACCCCCCTGGGGTCTTGGCCCCCAATGTACAGGCTCCCCCCTTCCCCATCTCTCAAACCTTGGCGCCAAAAAAGCCGGCTCTCTACTTTACTCCTCCCGGGGCGCCGTCCACAAGTACTCCACTGCGCCCAATACCCCCCGAGGCGTTCCGCGCGGGCCAGGCCGGTTGGCAGCACCCGCCCCTTCCCCCACCACAGCACGGGCAGGCAGCCGCCCTCCTGGCTGCCCGTCGCCCACAGCTCTTCGCTGTCTGCAGTTGCCTACGCCGCTCGCGGCATCGGTTGGGGCATCTCAGCTTCGGGCTTTCGGCCTGCGCGCGGCCCCGTTTCGGGATCCCGACCCGCGGGGCGGCCTCCGGGGCCGAGCCGGGCGTCGGCAGCGCCCGGGCGGCTCATTCCACGAGGGGGATCCACGCCGGCGGCCGAGGGAAGGCCAGGGTTGAGCATCGGCGGGGAGGGGCGCGCCAGCCAGGCGAGAGACAGTCCTGCTGATCGTCGCCGGGTGGCTGGCTGACGGAAAGCGGGTGCGCGTTGATTGCAAGGCGTCTCAGCGCGAAATTCGGATACTTTTGCCGGTGGAGGGGAGGCGGGATGGCCTGACGGGCAGGGGGCGGACAGGCGGTGCGGGTGAGGTCGCATCCCGGGACTAGCGGGCGGGGAGGAGGCGGGAGCTTTGGGGGTAGGGGTGGGGATGGCGTCGGGCGGAGACCCGGAGCTGCTGCCCGCGCTGGTGGTGCGCAACATCGGCGACAAGCTGTACGAGAAGCGCAAGACGGCGGCGCTGGAGGTGGAGCAGCTGGTGAAGAAGTTCGCCAGCACGGGACACAAGGAAAAGATCAAGGCGCTGGTGGGGCGCCTGGTGGACGACTTCGCGCTGTCGGGCCAGGCCAACCTGCGCAAGGTGGGCCCCCGGGGGAGCGGTGGAATGCCGTCCCACTGTCAATGGTCGGGAGATTCGATCGCGCGTCGCCGGCGCCGAGGTCGGCCGGGGCTGGCGCGGCGCCGCGGGGCGATCCCCGCGGGAGGGGCGCCGGCTGGGCCCGCATCGTCGGCTCGGCATTCGGATCAATGGACGTTGGCCGCCCGGCAGGGCTGCAGCGCTGTTCAAGCAAACCCTAGGCCAGGCCTCCCGCAATCGCCCGCGCCCAACGCATCCGCTCTCCAATTTCTTTGCCATGCCGCACGGGAGGAATGCCGACCGTGCGCCCCCAGTTGCCCCGCCATTTGCCCGGGGCGCTGCGCCGTTCTGACGCCGTCATACGCGACCCAATCTCGGAGGTGCGCGGCCTCATCCCCCGCGCTTGCCTCTTCCTAGGGCGGCCTGCTGTGCCTCGCCGCGGCCACTGTCGGCCTGCGGTCCGTCAACGACGAGAACCTGAACAACCTGAGCTTCCCGCGGCTGCTGGGCGACATCGTGCGCCCCGTGGCGCTGTCCCTCTCCGACCAGGACTCCCGCGTGCGCTACTACGCCTGCGAGGCCTTGTTCAACATCGCCAAGGTCACGCGGGAGGACTTCATCACCGACAAGTACCTCTTCCAGGAGGTCTTCTCCGCGCTGTTCCGCCTCTACGGCGACGCGGACGTCAATGTCCAGAACGCCGCGCAGCACCTGGATGAGGTGCTGAAGAACATCGTGACGTCCAGCGCCGAGTTCGACCTGGAGGCGTTCATCCAGCTGCTGAGGAGCTGCCTGTCGGTGCCAAACGCCCACAAGCGACAGTTCCTGATCGGATGGGTCACGGCGCTGTACAGCGAGCCCACTATAGACATGCTGCCCTACGTGCCAGAGATCTCGGAGGGGCTGATGAACATGCTGAGCGACGAGCACAAGGAAATCCGGACGTCTGCATCCAGGGCCCTACAGGTGGGGGACTCATCCTGCTGGGTTGTCCGTAGCCATGGTCTGTCCTGGCACAAATCCCCCTATTTTGCCCTGCTTGGGGCGAAGATTCCCTCCCAGGAGGGATGTCCAATCCGTGGCCTATTCTGCCATTTCTGTTAAGAACCTGGTACCAACGCATCAATGCCTGCTGCAGAAGGTGTTTTGGTGCGGTGGGCATGGTTGAGTATTGTGTACCGAGTCTAGTTCTGAAATTTTGATGGGCGTAAATATCCACCATATAAGGGCTGCTTTGGTTCTGCACAAGCGTAGTTCAAACTTTCGAATCCAAAATATTGGCACCACAAGGCACTACAATCCCAAAACGGCTGTGGACCTTGAGCAACCTCACAAGGAATAAAAGCCATGGAAGCCCTTGAATGCTTGTCAGAAACAGGATTCTCTGCAGGGGTCATTTTTGTAGCTCTCCATTGTTTCATCCACAAGTTAAATGTGCAACAAATATGCAGAGAATACGGAGCGGAAACCAGGGACCAGTACGTAGTTGTGTGGATGGATTAGTGTATGTTGTTTCTTCCTTAGTTATTGAGATATGTAGATCTGACATAAAATAACTGGTCTTGGCTGGTTCAGTGGTTCTGAAAATGGAAGCACAGGAGAGTATGTGCACAGAACATGGTGCAGAGATCATGGTAATGTGCTTGGCGGAGTTTGGCAAAGAATGGCATCCAAGCATGGGGGGTGTGAATACATGGAGTTGATCATTCAATGCACTGATCCCCGCCAACAGCAGGCAAAAGAAATGGCTGATGAGTTTTGACTCAAGAGTACAAAAGTGTTGCAGAAATGACTATTTGAATGTAATGCAATCAATGCACACAGCCCTTCTTTGCAACTCTCCTTGCTGGTGCTATTCCATTGATACCATTGGATGACATTAGCAACTTACACCCTGTGTGGTTCAGGACGATGTGCTCATTGTCAACGTGCCATCGCAGAGAAGGCACAAAAACACACTGGTCACGATGAGAATGCAAACTATAAATCCATTTTTATATATCATTTGGCTTTCTTTGTGTTTGGCTTCTCCTGTTATTTGCACAGTGGTGTTCTTGATAAATGGCTCAAGCCACACAAACCAGTGACATGCTCCACCCTGACCTCAATAATGCCAAGATGACCATGGCCATTGAAGGTCCATTGTAGTCCACATACCTGATAGCGGACACAAGCCAATGATGCAGAAACAGTCTACTTGTTTGCTGCATTTATTAAAGAATTTAGCATTTTGAATTCACAACATCGCCTTGGAAGGGTTGGAAGGGGTGGTCCTTGGCACTCTGCCTAGCCAGCATCATCCAGTTTGTTTTAGCTCAGAATTGTGTCTGGAGGGGTGCAGGTGCAGCAAATAGTTTGCCTCAGGGAATTGTACAGGAGTTTCCTTTTTGGTCGTGGTGAAGTGTGTTGTCTGGAAGCAGCTTGCAATGGGCACCAGATAACCCAATGTAGAGGGATGATGAGCTATCAACAGGTGGACATTGTGCACTGTGTGGGGACAGATATTGGGTGGTGCAAGCAGCGATGAGTTGACACCTCTGTTGGTTGCATTGAGTGTGGTCGATGGATTGGAGTGGCAAGCCAAGGGCGCAGTGCGAAATATTTGATAGAACATGATGCGAAATATTTGATAGAACATGATGCCTTTCTGCCTTTCTTATCCATGTTGCGCAAATAAATTGTCGGTTCTTTGATCAGAATATCTGAATGAGGGACGCAGCATTGCCAAGCAGGCTTGTGAACGGAGATATGAGAGGCTTTTTGCGAAAGGAGATGTGCCTGTCATTGATCATCGCTTTACAGATGCAAGTGCAGCGCCTCACCTCTGCTTCTCAGACTGCAGTTAAGTGGACCTCAGCCTCCAAGATCGTTTGGATGTCTGTACCATGGACTCTCACGTTTGCAGATCGCTGCCACCTTCAGGATTTCCTGGTCGACATCTCCCAAGCCTATGAGGACACGGTGGACTTTCCAAAGGTGATGGACATGCTCATCTCCAAGGCGAGCTCCCCAGAGACCACCACGTGCCTGACGGCCATGAAGTGGATGGACGCTGTGCTGCAGAAGAACATCATGGACGTAATCGAGAAGTACGCACAGATGGTTGGCGTTGTGCTGTCCTGCATCAGCCACCCCAACCCGGACGTGCAGGAAAGCGCAGACTCAGTCAACACATTGCTGCTGCAAATGGACGATGCAGAGGCATGGGCACTGGTGGACATGAGGGCACTGCTGGAGGCCATCAGCAAGGAGCTTTCCAGCAACCAAGAGCCCACCAGGTGACGCCTCAGTCTTGCTCAGTTCATGCTTTTGAGGCGCTTGGAGTATGGTTTGTTATATGTGTGTTATGCATGTGTATTTTATGCATATGTGGTTTGTTATTGAGAGTGATTGTTGAGCCATCAGTGGGGTGGCTTGCCTGGTTGGGCTTTGTTTGGGAGAATGTGTTGCTCATCCAGTCTTTACAATAGCTTGGGTTTTGGGCTGAGGATTTGCTAATTGCTGAAGAGCCTGGGAGAATCTGTAACAAGACTGGGTGAACAACTGGATCCCTTTGTTTGGTGTCAGGAGCTTCCCATTGTGTCAGCTGTTGACCTGCTGTTTGTGTTTTGGAGCCGTGGGCTGGGTGTCCTCCCCTGGTGAATTTCTTTTCTGGGATGGCATTGCCTGGTGCAATTTGAGGGCAGATAGGAATCTGGACATTAATCATGGCACCCTCTGCCAAAGGCGATGGACAGCTTCAAAATGCTGTAAAACACTGCAATGAAATGCCCAATTCTCCAATGCCACCTTCCATCTTTGGGTGCTCCATTTACTGTGAAGGGATTTGGGGGCCTTACAATAGGCAAAGAACATTGTAATGTAGTTTGCATTGGTTATGTCAGCTTCTCAGACAACCTTGTTTAACATGGAACGTCTGCACTGCCTGTGGATGTCCCTACCCAACAAAGGGAGCAAAAAAGAATCAGGATCTGAGTACAGCCATCAATTACCACTGAACAGACAAGGGATGCTTCTTGTCTTTGCATTTTCGTTGGATTTCAGCCTGCTGGATCCACAGCGCGCTGCCCATGCTGACTGTACCAGATGCGGCAGGTCCCTTTGCCAGCAACCCTCTCTTATCAAACAGACCATTCAATTGTGCATCGCATATGCACATGCCAAACATCGAATATGCAAGTGTCAAACAATACATGGAGTAGAAGTAGTGCATGGGAGTTACAGAGCCTGCAGCTGAGTGTGACAGATGGCATTAATGTGGATAGCTCCCTTCCACAGCTGCCTGAGCGCATGTCTGCGTGTGCGCCAGCCTTGTCAAGATGTGTAGCTAAAGCTCTACACTATAATGAGAACCCTAAACCCTGGGGCCACTGCTAAGCCCATTGTGCCGTGGCCATGACCCAGCAAAGAAGTGGGTTGCATGTGCAGTGGCCATGCGGGGCAGATGCTTGAGGAGATACCAATAATATTGCACTATGGTCCTGCCAGCAACAATGTCAGGCACAGTCAGCAGTCACTTCAACCCATCTGCATGGTGGGTTTGTTCTTGACATGGATAGAAACTGGGGAACTGGATGTGCACATGACGTGCGTTGTCCATGAGATGTGCTGGTTAAGCATAGTGCTATAGTATTTCAATGCTTGTTCTTGTTGATGTAAAATCTGCAGCAATCATGGTAATGATTCAGTGACGTTTATATCAGCCATTGCAGAACATGGGCAATGGCAGTGCACCAATGCTTGACAGCCTTTCATGCGCACGATCACATTGAGCAGATGTTGATATTCCTGCTTTGCCATCAGGTTACAGGCGCTCAGGTGGTTCGAGTTCTTGCTGGAGCACAATGGGAAAGCTGTGCTTGAAGAGAGTACAGTGGTCGTTGGTGCAGTGCTGGACGCACTGGCCATGAACTGGGAGAATGTCGTTCAAGCATCGCTGAAGCTCCTTGCAGCCATAGCACAGCAAGAAGGCCATTTCAGTCCCGTTATGGCAGAGGTGCTGGGCAGGTGAGGCGTGCTCCCGACTGTGATCCAGCACACGCTCTCGGATGTTTGTCAGCTGAGATGTGTTTGTGTGTCTGATCAGGCGTCAATTGTGGAGATGTCTGGGTTCACTCTGCAGAGGGGATGACGCTTGTGGTTATGTTGTTCGCAAAGTTCTTGATTCACTTCCTTTGGATTGTGGGGCAGTTCCTTGGAGAAAATCGAACATGGTGGCAAAGTGCACTTGTTGCAAGGTTGGTGTGCACATGCTTGTTGTGTTGTGCTCCATTAGGGCTTTATCAAAATTCGATCAACCTTTGAGTTCTTGATTATCAGTTGCCCGTAAATGTTCAGTCAAGTTTTGTCGTCGTATCAGTGGCCTTGCACCTGCAAGGCGATGATAGCCAGCTTTATTGGTCTTGCGCCACTGTTTCCAGTCTGTTTTCGAACAGCCCTCTGGCTATGTTCCAATCAGGTTCCGAGGCACAGAGGGCACACGACTCCTTCATCGATCAGGCTCGCATATAGTCCAACGGCTCTCTTGTCTGCTGGGACCACAGGAGGTTTACACAGAGTTGGCATCCTTGCTTGAGCGTGGGAACAGCGATGATGGCTTCACAGGCACCATGGTCCAGTCCCTGAACATTTACCTTGTGACAGCCCCCGAGCTCAGGGACCTGCAGGTGACTGGAAATCAACATGGACTATGTTTATCAAGAAATGGCTATCCCTGACCTTTCAGCCATTGCATGCCACCGTCTGTTAAGCTATTGGACTGGATGCTGCTCCCAAGTATTGGGCCCAATGATGATTTTGCTCTACCTTGTAGCCCAAGGTATCATAGATGTGCCCAACGACATTTGCTGGTGCTTTGGAGGCCGTTTGGGTAACGATGTTTACCTTTCAAATAGAGGATAATTAATCCTGGACAGAGCAAATATTATTTTATATTCTAAAAGAGCATCAAAAGGCTTGACTGTACCCAGTGTGGATTCCCAAATGTGGCTGCAGCTGTGGCTCACAGCAAAGGACCTCACCTTGCTTCTCCTGCTGCCCAGGTGCAACTCCATCAGGGCCTGGCAGACGAAAAGTGTGCAACCCTGTTCAGGGCTTTGTACCCCTCTTGGTGCCACAGCGTCTCAGCAGTCCTCACGCTGTGCTTCCTGAGTCAGGCCTACGACCTCGCATGGCTGCTCATCAACAGCATCGGCAACGTTGCGTGTGGCCCCTCCATGAGCACTGTCGTGCAGATCATAAGGGTAGTGAAGCTTCTGGAGACACCGGCATTCACATACCTCAGGCTGCAGCTGCTCCAACCTGAAAGGCAAGTGTTACCCAGGAGCTGCTGTTGTGTGCTTCTTTTCAAAGTAATTCTTTTCCCCAGAATATTATGTTTATGCACAGTGTCACACTCTTCCATTGTATGTTTCGTTCCAAACAAAGGATCATGCTCAAGAGTCCAAGTGCCCAACATGAAAACGTATGGGTTTTGGCTGGAGGTGTTTTGAGGTGTGTTTAGTTGGTTTGCTGCGTGCATGGTTTGCTACTGTTTGTTGTGTGGTTTGTTACTGTTTGTTGTTTTTCAGCTATTTGTGTGTTGTTTGTGCTGCCCTGGGTTAGTACGAGCAAGTGCTTTTGGGGCGTGAATATAGGATTTTAAATGTCTGATTCGGGGAAGATAGTTTCGTGCTGTTGGCCATCTGCAGTGGATTATCCTTGTTCATCCCTTGTAAAACCACAAGGAACCACCACAAGGAAATGGATATCTTCAATTGTGACCATTGGATGTCAGAATGAATTCGTCTGGGTTGTGTATCCATCATTTTGCAGTTTTGAGCAGCGCACTTGCATCAAAGCAATGTCAATGGATGTGCTTCACTGTGCATTTTCTTCTGTTCCTTCAAAGATTTTCTTTGTACCCTATTTGCGAATTTCGTTTTCTATCAAGCACGCGACTTGTGTTTCAGGTTCGCTTATCCTGTGCGCTGCATGTCTGGATTTGTTATCACACAGCTTCTGGAATATTGTGCGCTTGTCAGGGAATTCACCCAATTTACTGCTGCATATTTCTGAATGTCTCGTTTGTTTTCTGGGCTGTGCAGGTACCCTTACCTCATGCAGTGCATGCATGGCCTCCTGATGCTGCTGCCCCAGACGGAGGCCTTTAAGACTTTGTACGTCCGCCTGAAATCGACGCCCGTTGTGCCCCTCTCCTTGGCCTCCTGCTCTGCCCTGTCCACGCCTGGCAATGCCAAGCGGCCCCAAGGCGACGACCATGGGGCACCCTCAGGCCTGGACTACAGCTCGCTGGTGGACATATTTGTGCGGTGCCAACAACGAAACGAGGAGAAGGAACGGCATGCTTGCAATGGGAAGTGATGCGAATCCAGGAGGGGCGACATTCCTTCCGTTTGCATTGTGTTGGAGGCTGGAGCGACGTGGCGTTGCCCTGAGTAGGGGCTCTGGTTGTGTGGTGGCAGGAGAGAGGGGAGGCAGGGCAGAATTGAACCAGGAAGAATGGCTGTGTGACGAAAATCGGCAGACAGAGGCCAAGCAACGAGGGCGGCAGCCTTGCGACTCTTTCGAACAGGAACGATGGTCAAATGATGATGGCACCAGGGGATTGTGTTGACGATGGGGGGGATTACGCCAAGGGGGGGCACGAGTTTGATGGCTTCTCTGCGGGCTAGTCATTGGGAAGTGGGATCTGTCACGTGCGACTTTATTGGATGTAGGCACTGGCAGGGAACGAGATGTGCAAAGCACAACACGCACACTTACGAGCATTGCAGCTTCATGTTGTGGGTTGGCTGGTGTGGGGCATGTCCTGGATGGCTGCTTTGTACATTGAGTGCTGTAGTAAGGAAGGATGGGATCTTTTAGCGCCCTGTGCGAGCCACACGAGGCAGTGACCCGAATAAGGGATGGGGGTGACAGAAGATGCGCATGAGTGGCGAAACGGGCGCCTCTGTCGCCCCAGGAGCATTGGTTTAAGGGCCATGTTTTCTTTGCACCGGCCATGGCAAATTTGATATTGTAGCAGGGCGTTTGTAGTGTCACCGCCTGGGATGTTTGTGTATTGCATTCGCGCTTCAAGAATGCTTGTAATCCGACCTAAACGTATTCGATCGTTGTGAACAGCACATTGTTCACTGTTAGGAGGGACGTGTTTCAATGTCTGGCGGTGTCGTGGAACCAACAACTGCAATCGGCTGCTATTTTGTGTGCTAGTAGAGTATTGCGTTTGAGGCAAGTTTGCTTGAAAACGTGCTTGGCACCCGCCGGGTGTCAAATGTTGTCCGCTGGTCTTAAAGCGTGTAATGGATATTGCGCACCATCTATTGTACTCACACACAAGCCCTTCGATTTTGAAATGCCTGTTTTATTGCATTTGCCAAGGACTCCAGCCTGCCCTTGTTTCACGTCACTGCCCGAGGGCAGCTGTCTGGGCGCGGCTTTCGTCATCAGCATCATCAACAAATCTTGCACATCACGCCCGCCTCAATTGCACTTTTGAGACATAATCAGCATTCACTCTGCATTTCGTTAAAGTCGCCACTCCCACGTCGCTGGCAGCACCCCGCCCCAGCAACACAAAGCTCGATGAGGCGCGTACCATCTACGGTCACGCCATGCGCCCTTCGCCAACATCACAGCGGCATAAATCTCCACAGTGGGGGCGCATATTCCACAGCAACACGAGCGTTCCCATGGCGATGCACTGCGGCTACCACCATTGCCAGCTGAGCATTGCATGACTTGGAGCTCCCGCAATGCAGCACGACTTCATCGCTTCCAACCTCCAAGTCCAAGCCGTGCTATGTACATTGGCCCAAGGTTGAGCAAGCGGCATGGCAGTGCATTGCAACAGGCATAGATGCACGCAACGACGTTGTTTTCAATGATTCGTGTGAAGCGATTCGCTTCATCGCAATCCCAACATCGGTGGCATGGTTACCAGCCGGTCGGTGGATGGATCGGTAATCCACAGCAATGCGATCAACAGCACTGGTCTGGAATTCATGCCCAACGTGGCCTCCAAGGTGCAAGGGCAGTGTTTTGTCATGTTTATGTAGCAAATGCAATTAAAACATCTTTCCACCTGACCGGTCTCCTGAACCCACCCGGTCATGTTCCCCACACGACAAAACATTACAACAAAGGTGTCCATCACCAACAACTCCACATACCCGAGGTCCCCGTACTTAACAGTTTGCCCTTTCGCTTCGCCCGTACTTTACTTCACGTTTCTCCCGTGACAGAAACCCTGAGTCATCCCTTTCCCGTTCTGCCATCCACTCCATCCCGTTTTCTCCCTCAACTCAACCGAACTCCACTCTCTAGGGCGGGAGGGCTGGGTGCGAAACAAGATAGGAGGGGGACCGAGGGGGGAGTCTAAATAGCCGCCCCCGCTCAGCCCCGCCAAAGCCCGCCAAGTCCAAGCCGCCAAAACGGGCGGACCCTTGGACACTCCGTACTTTGACTGACCCAAGGTACTAGGAAGGGCCAGAAACCCGTTTGAATACGATTGCCCCGATTCGAAACTCGGCGCAACCCACCCAACGTCGTCCTGGGTGGAAATCTATTAACAAGATAGTTAATGTCATTTCCACCTGACCGGTCTCCTGAACCCACCCGGTCACGTTCCCCACACGACAAAACATTACAACAAAGGTGTCCATCACCAACAACTCCACATACCCGAGGTCCCCGTACTTAACAGTTTGCCCATTCACTCTCCAAGGGCGGCGAACCAACAAGCTTGTTGCAGCCTCCGAGCTGCAACGCATCGAGGTGCCAGCAGCGCTGATCGAGAGGTTGCAATCACATGCCGCCGCGGAGCCCTCTGCCCCTTCCCCGACACCCCAGCTAACGGCCACTGAGCCTTGGGCTTGGCTCTCACCCGCCGGGCTCTCCACGGCAGATGCGCGGGTGATCCCCATCTCGAAGGCCGCCGTGCCTCACCTGGTGGGACGCGGAGGTCGTTCAATTGCGAAATTGGAACAATCTTTTGGTTTGATTGTGAGTGTGTCGGACGAGGCGGACGGAGGCGCGCGCGTGATATTGTTTGGTCCTGAATCTCGGCTTGGGTGCGCGGAGGCTGTAGTGCAATGTGTGGCGGGGGGTAGCCACTCCATCCTTCGCCACCTTCCATCTATTTTGGCATGGTAATCTCTGGGGATCCGTCATGGTTCTGGCATGACATGGTCGCCACGATTTAGTACCATGGGATGGTTTTATTCGAGCAGCTGAGTGCAATCTGGCCTTCTCTTTTCTGGCTCAGTCTGACCATTCTGTACGGCTCGTATTGCTTGGTATGGCATTGGATTTCATTGGTTTTGGGCTTGGGACCATCATTTTGTGGATTGCATCGGGGTGATCGGTGTACACGCGAAGTGGCTAAATTCAGACGGGATTGATACATCGAATCTGCGCAATCTGGTTTGGAAACATTGCGGCCCATTGGGAGCTTTTCTGAGCTCAGCGAGTGACCGCATTTGCTCAACAGAGGTGAACGAGGAATAGCCCATCACTCTGATTCTTGGCTTGCCGACATTTTCTCTTGTTTTGTGGGGGAGTTTCCAGGGGTTCGGTGGCAGCAGTGGCCGCTATTAGAGGCGTGTTTTCGGTTCTAGAGGTGGGCCTGGACGTGCCCTTTGTACACTGGATGGTACGCTACATTGATCGATGCCGTGACGTCATGTCGATGCATCCATGTAAGGAACAAACAAACAAACAAACAAACAAACTCTCCAAGGGCACGGGAGGCGCCTCCGGGGCAGAAAATGTGCCCAAACTGGGCGTGGAGGTCGCGGGCGGTGATCGTCATCCACCCGAACAAACGAAAGTCCCACTCAGTGGGTAAACGAAAAATGTCCACGTACGACCACACGGAGTCCGACTTCCAGCCACCCCAGTCCCGAATGCGCCGCTCGGCGACCTCCAAAGCGAAGCAGCTGGACGCACCGCCGCCGCGGAGGCCATGGTGCGTAAAAGGTTCCCGAGCAATGGTCGGGTGCCGGGCCAGCAAGTCCGAAAACCAAGCGGCCACCGTCTTGGAGCTGGGGGACGCCTCGCCCAGAAGGCGGTAGAAATGGCGAGGCGCCTGGTCCGTCTGGGCCCAGGCGCGGTCGCGGAAAGCCGTCCATCGAAGAAGGAGATCCACAACCTCCGGGGCGCCTTGGGTCGGCCAGGACCGAAAACGCAAGCGAGGGGCCGCATCCTTGTGCAGCTTGGACTTGCGTTCCCGAAATAAAACGACCTTGTCATCCACCCGAATGTCCTCCACCAGAACGAAGTGGCCCGATTGCGCCCGGTTGAAAAAGATGTAGTCGATGTAGGCCGCGCACGCCGCCCGAAGAAAGGCCCCGTCCTCCATGGTCAATCCCACGTCGAGGATGTGAATCATCACCTCGATGGGCACAGGGCGGTGATGTTGCACGGGGGCTGGCATATCCCGACGCCATGTGCGGGTGAGGACATGGGTGACCAGGTCGAATGCAGAAAAGCCAAGGTGCCCAGACATATGGTGCACCATGGAGATGGCCGCGAGATATTGCGGCAAAGAACGAACGCCCACCTTGCCTTCCTCACGTAGGAACCGAATGTAGTGGTAGATGGTGGCGCGACGAGCGGGCAGCGGCTGCAAGGCATGCGCCTCGCAAAAGGCCTGGAAACGTAGGAACTTGGCCTGCATAGTCTGCCGGGTGGCCTTCGTATAGGAAGCAAGGAACTGCTGCGCCATCCAGCTCCGATCGTCAGCCAGTAAGCCATCCACTTCGGTGCCGTACAGCGGATGGTCCTCGGGGACCGGTTCCAAGGGGAACGGATCCGAAGGAGGCTCCCCAGCGGGTGGCGCCGGAGCCTCCGGTTCGCTCAGGGCGTCATCGCCGGTGGGGTCCGCAGTGTCGTCGGGTGCGTCCTCGGCGCCACATGGAAGGCGCGCAAATTCCAGCGCGGAGGCGGAAGGGAGGACGGGAGGCTCGGATCCCCAGGGAGAAAGAGGTTGGGCTGGCGGGGAATGAAGATCTCGGCCCGCGCCATCGCCCGGAGGCGGGGAAACCAAACCGCGCTCGGCCAGTCCAGCGCTAGTACCACCGCGTCCAGCTGCGGCTTCGAGGCGAGGAAGGCGACAAGCCTCGCGAGGAGGCTCCATGGGGGATTGCACCAGCTGCACATCCCCGTCCAGTTCTGTGCGAAGGCGTCGACGCCCGACGTACCCACATCCCAATGTTGACTGTTGTAGGCCTCGCAAAGGGCATTCCGAGCAGACGCAAAGCGGTCCACTGAACAGACCCCGAAGCAGTGGACGACCTCCTGGAATATGCGCGGATTGAGCCGGTAGTCCTCCGAAGTCCGTATACGCGAAAGCCTGTCCG